CAGCAAAGAAATAACAGAATTGAATCACACATGTGAACAAATGGACTTGATAGACATATACAGAGTGTTCCATCCAACAACATCAGAATACACATTCTTCTCAGCAGTACATGGGTCATTCTCTAAAATAGCTCACCGAACCATATATTAGCTCACAGAACATATTTAAATAAATACAAAAGAGTTGAAATTATCCCTTGCATGTTATCGGATCATAGTGCTTTGAAATTAGAAATTAATGATAAAAGATACTGCATAAATCCCACAAACACATGGAAACTGAATAACACACTTTTGAGTAATAAGTGGGTCACAGGGAAAATTAAAGAAGAAATTAAACAATACCTACAAGAATATGAAAAGACAATTACAACTCACAGGAATCTGTGGGATACAATGAAAGCTATCCCCTGAGGAAAATTTACTGCACTGAGTTCCCACATCAGGAAAACAGAACAAATACAAATAAATAACCTGATGCTATACCTCAAACAGCTAGAAAAAGAAGAGCAAGTCAACCCCAAAGCCAAAAGAAGAGAGGAAAGTATAAAAATCAGAGCAGAAATCAATGCAATAGAGACTAAGAAAACAATCCAAAGAATCAATGAATCAAAGAGTTGGTTCTTTGAAAGAATAAATAAAATTGATAAGCCACTAGCCCAGCTTATTTAAAAAGCAGAACAAAATGCTCAAATTCATGCAATAAGAAATGAAAAAAGGTGAAATCACTACAGACTCTATAGAAATACAGAAGATCATCAACACCTCTTTTGAAAACCTCTACTCTCAAAGGTTTGATAACACAGAAGAAATAGACAGATTCCTAGAAACATGTGAAGTACCAAAGCTAGATCAAGAGAGTAAAACTGCTGAATAACCCAATTTCTATTAATGAAATTGAAAATGTAATTAAGTCCTTACCTACAAAGAAGAGCTCAGGCCCAGATGGATTCACTGCAGTATTCCCACAAAAAATACAAAGAAGACCTAATGCCGACACTCCTCAAACTATTCAGTGAAATTGAAAGGGAAGCAATCCTTCCTAAGTCATTCCTGGAAGCAAATATTACTCTAAGAGAGTAATATTACTCTGAGAAAGACCCAACTAAAAAAGAGAACTATAGACCAATCTCCCTAGTGAACACAGATGCAAAAATCCTCAATAAAATATTGGCAAATAGGATGCAGCAAATCATCAAGAAGATTATACACCATGACCAAGTGGCATTCATGCCAGGCATGCAGGGATGGTTCTACATATTTAAATCAATAAATATAATCCACTATATCAATAAAGTCAAAAGTAAGAATCACATGATCATTTCTATAGATGCAGAAAAAGCTTTCGATAAGGTCCAACATTCATTCATGGTAAGAACTTTACAGAACATTGGAATATATGGTCTTTACCTCAATATAATAAAGGCTATTTATGACAGACCAACAGCCAGTATCATACTAAATGGCCTAAAAATTGAAGGCCTTTACTTTAAAATCAGGAACAAGACAAGGATGTCCTTTATCACCACTCCTATTTAATATAGTACTGGAAGTACTAACCAGAGCAATTAGACAAGAGAGAAAAATAAAAGGGGTAAAGATGGAAAAGAAGAAGTTAAATTATCATTATTTGCAGATGACATGATACTCTACATAGAAGACCCCCTACACTCCATTGAAAGACTCTTAGATATAATAAATAAATTCAGTAATGTAGCTGGATACAAAGTCAGTGCTCAAAAATCAATAGCATTCCTATACACTAACAATAAAATCACAGAGAGAGAAATAAGAGAAGCCATACCCTTCACACTAGCAAACAAAAAATGAAATATTTAGGAATATTTACAAAAGAAGTGAAACACCTATACAGGGAAAATTATAATACACTGAAAAAAGAAATTGAAGATGATCTCAGAAAATGGAAAGACATCCCTTGCTCATGGATAGGAAGAATAAATATTGTGAAAATGGCCATTCTCTCAAAACCGTTGTACAGATTCAATGCAATCCCAGTAAAAATACCATCAACATAACCTCATAGATCTAGAGAAATCACTCCTAAAATTCATCTGGAGCGAAAAGAGACCTAGAATAGCAAAGACAGTTCTAAGCAACAAAGGCAAGAGAGGAGGCATCACAATCCCTGACTTGAAGTTATACTACAAAGCAACTGTAGTAAAACCAACATGATACTGTAATCAAAACAGAGCCAAAGATCAATGGAATAGATTAGAAGATACAACCACAACTACAAACACACTCAACCACCTTATCTTTGATAAAGGAGCCAAACACTGTTCACTGGAAGAACGACAGTCTCTTTAATAAATGGTGTTGGAAAAACTGGCTCTCCAGATGCCAATAACTAAAACTAGACCCATGCCTATCACCATGTACTAAATTAAAATGTAAATGGATCAAAGATCTGAATATTAAAACAGAAACACTAAATCTATTGGAAGACAAATTGGGTAGAAACCTTAAAGACATACGGGTAGGTAGAGAATTCGTGAACAGGACTCAAACCACACTGGGAATACTTGCTAGCATCAATAACTGGGATCACCTCTTATTAAAAAGTTTCTGCATGTCAAAAGAAATCTCCAGCATAGTGAAAAGAAAACCCACAAACTGGCAAAAAATCTTAGTGAACTGTCCCTCAGATAAGGGACTTCTGTTGAAAACATATAAAGAATTAAAAAAAATTAGGCTCCCAAAATGCAAAGATCCAATCCTAAAATGGGCATCTGAGATGAATATATACTTCTCAGATGAAGAAATACAAATGGCAAATAAATACATGAAAAAATGTTCATCATCATTAGTCATTAGAGAAATGCAAATGAAAACCACACTGAGATTCCATCTCACTTCTGAAAGAATGGCCAGGATCAAGAAAACCATCAACAAAAATTCTGGAGAGGCTTTGGGGAAAAAGGAACTCTCCTGCACTGTTGGTGGGAGTGTAGACTGGTGTAACCATTGTGGAGGTCAGTCTGGAGATTTCTCAAAAAGCTCTGATTGGAAGTCCCATTTGTTCCAGCTATCTCAATTCTAGTCATATTCCCAGAAGAACTGAAAGCAACATACCACAATGATATATGTGCACCCATGTTTACAGCAGCACAATTTGTAATAGCCAGATCTTGGGAACAACCTAAGTGTCCATCAATTGAGGAATGGAAAAAAAAAGTTGTGGTGTTTTTCTACAGTGGAGTACTACTCAGCTATAAAGAAGGATCACATTGGGATATTTATAAATGAATGGGTGTAGCTTGAAACCATACTCACAAGTGAAATAAATCAAACATGTATGAATACCAAATAGTTTCCCTATTGTAAGAAATGATTCAAATATATAAAAGTATGTAGTAATCATGATCCCCCCATTATGTGGCTTTAAAGCCTTATAAAGTTTTCACTCATTAATTGAAATGGCTTTATTCTGGGTTGCTAGATATTATTGTCTGTGATGATATGAACAGCTATTTTGAAGAAAAGACATCATAATAGCTAGTGCTGATTGAATATCATCTTGTTTTGAAGTCCCACCAAACTGTTGTTCTTCTGTCTCCATTGGTTTTATCATGTATCTTACTGGATTTTATTATATGTGATAATATAAACAAAAATTTTTGTAGCAAAGAGATAATATAGAAACCATTGTTTGTTGTCCATTAGCTGGTTCTAAATACCCTGTAATACTTTCATCCTCTTGAATGGTTTCATACTGCCTTGATATATTTGAAGCCATAGTATACGAAGTTATTTTCAAATATTTCAAGGAAAGAGATACTATGGTAACTACTATTAAGTATTGTGGTGAAGCACTAGATTGCTGAAATTGTTATGCTTTGACCTGTATTGTTATGTTGTTATGTCCTCTTTTATCTCAATCTCCCCTTTTTTAAAAAAAAATATTTTTTAATTTTTTTAATTAAGGGGAAGAATCAAAAAAATTATCAGGATATATTATAGTAACTTTTTTCATTTCCCGTTAACTTGATTTGAAGCCCTGTGTTGCTTCCATCATCTTGTTTTGACTGATTTTACTCTGTTCTCGTCTGTATGATAGTATTAAGTATCAGAGTATAGGCAACTACTTTGAAGGCAATAAGATTCACTATGATGCCCATTTTGGTTTGACTATTATCTTCTTTTGAAGTCCTGTAATGTTTCCAATGTTTAGGTTTTATTGGTGTTGTTCTTTACTGTTTTGTTCAATTTTATTATACCTAATGATACAGGCAATTCTTTTTAAGGTAGCAAGAGGCATTATGGTAACCATTGTTGATTACCTTGTATTCTGTTTTTACATCATGTGCTATATCTATCCTTTGTTTTGACTGACTGCTTTGTTTTGTCATATTTGGTTTTATTCTCTTCCAAAAAATAAGAACTATGGGAGTAATAAAACCCCAAATGTGTAAATGTTGTTGTAAAAAAGAGAGGGGAAAAAAATGCTCTAAAGGATACAACTGCAAGTGTGTTTAGGTGTGTTTAGATGACCATTTTACTAAGTTTTTGTTGGATCATTGAACGTAACTGTTTGCAGTCTCACTGTTTGAATATCCACTTTGTATGCTTTAATCCTATAACTTGAACAACTATTTCTAAGATGACAATATGTAATCTATTAATTAGTGATTTCTTACTGTTTTTTTTTGAAATTCTGTATTACTTGTACCCTTATGCTGTTTCGTTTTTTTTTTTCCCCTTTAAATAAAAAAAAAAATTAAAATGGTAATTTCTGGTATAATTTTATCAAGTCAAGAAAAATTTTTAGTATTTCTAATCTTTTAAGAGATTTTATTATGTATGTGTGTTAAATTTACCAAATGCATTTAGGTATCAATAAGCTAATTTCTTTCTATTCCTCTTTTGGGATTATATCAATGGATTTTATAAAGTTATAATTGCATTTAGTTTTAAACCACTGTCAGTTTTGGCTAGAATGATGCAAGAAAACATTTTAAGATGCATGTTTTCTTTTATAGAATACTGTCCTCCAAGGAGACGGAGATGAAACATTGGTAAACTCGAAAGATGACCAAAGGTAAAGTATTACTAGAAAAATAGAATTTTCTTAATATTACCTGTCACTAAAATAATTACATTAGTATAGAAATGTCTACTTTTGGCCTGCTATAGTTAGACATAACTGACTTAGAAAAGCAAGCATCATAGAGTATTATGCTGGCTCACAATGGGGAAAGATTTTGTCCTTTTACCAGTAGAAGATAATTTGGCAATGTTTGGAAACATTGTTATTTGTTTCAACAAGCAAAATCCATAGAGGTAAGGCTGCTATAGGCATCTAACAAGTAGATGCCAGAGATACAAATAAATATCATACCATGTTCAGACCAGATTACATACTCCACTCATCCACAGAGACAGTTCTTTAGGCAAGAATAGTACTTATTCTAAGACTTAAAAACTCTTAGTTTAGAGAAAAGACAACGTACTGATTCTTATGGTTAAATAAAGCATAAATGTTTTAATACATAATTTGTTACATATTTATTAGATGGGATCAAGTGTGCCTTAGTTCTAACTCTGCTTTTTTTTTTTTTTTTTTTTTTTTTAGCTTTTTAGCACTTCTTATTTCTCAGTATGATAAACATGTGGCAGAGCTGGGAGGGCAAATAAAATATTATCAGGTATGAAATTATAATTATGAAATTTTTGCAATGTTCTAGTATGAGAAAAAAATAAAACAGACTCATTCATTTTAAAAAACACTGATGAAGAAAGTGTTTTACTGTATTGATTCTTGTTGCTGTTTAGTCTGTGCCTGTGTGCATCCATGTGTATGTGTTTAAAGATGATCTGAAAGAAAGCTGCTGCATTTTAAGGCTGCATTAGAAGTATCTACAAGTCATATAAGAAAAAAACTGACAAAGACAGTATTTTAAATTGAGAAACAAAATCCATTCTGCAAATGATAAAACATGCAGGTAGAATGAAGGTAAGGAGAAAGATTTCAAAGATTAAAGATTATCTTTAGTTTTGTTTTTTAATCCCAGTATCTCCTTACTATTTTATCTGTTAAAAGTATCTCCTAGAGGCTTAGGAATTTTTCTTCACCATGTTATTACTTGCTTATTTATTTTTTCCCTTGAAAACTATCTCATATCGTATCAGATATTTCTCCTTGCCTTCATTCTACCTTCATGTTTTGTTATTTGCAGAATGGATTTTGTTTCTAAATTTCAAATATTGTCTCAATTATTTTTTCTTTTATGTCTTTTAGGTACTTCTAATGCAGGCTTAAAATGTAGCAGCCTTTTTTTTTTTTTTTTGAAATGCTTAGCAGTGGAGTTTATTTTAATAATGAAGAGAATAAAGAAACTAAAGAAGTTGTCTGTATAGTTAATTATTTTAGGTTCCATGATTCTCAGACTGAGCTCATGGAAAATTAGAATGGCACAGAATTGCTTAGAACACAGTATGAGTTTCAATGAACTATATTGTTAGAGCATAACAATATTAATAATGTATTTCTTTGAACTTAAAATGCCTTTTACATGTTTTCTTGAATTTTCTGATATGGGAATAAAAATACAGTGGACTCACACAATTTATATGTCTCATGCTAAGCCCACCAGTTGGCGGGTACTTCTCATCCTCATGATTGTGTTTGCCTGAAACACTACTCCCTAGATCAATTCTGCTGCAATAAGGATAGCAAGGTTAACTTAATTAAATCAAATAGAAGAAAATATACTGACTTTATATAAAGATAATCCAATGGGACTGATTTTCTAAGAGTAATGCTGTGCATGTGAGAGACACTAAGCAGTTTCTGTTTTTTTCCTCCATAGACAGGAAGAAATCTTACAGTATACTTTGAGGTGTTTAGACATCTGATGAATAATTAAATACTGGAGCTTATGCGAACAAGATAGAGCTAGTATAACAATCCGTTCTTCAAAGTATAGATTGATACAGTATGCACTTTTATTAAGAGAACATATAATGCTTATATTTCCTAAAAAATAAACTTAGGTTATTCTATTGCATTTGGAATAATGTGAACTTTCATTTCCAACGTTATTCTTCTACTATGTCAACTTACAAAGTAAACCTGTGAACTCAAATTTCAGAAATAGACATTTTTTTAAAAAATGCAGTCTGTTTTATGATAAGTAATTCTTAAGTTAGTTCATTTCCTGGTCTTTACTGTATACATTTTAGCCTGTGGTCCTTTAAATATAATGCAACCACAATAATATCTTTTCATCATACTTACTGACAATTAAAAAAGAAACCTCTTTTTTGAACAATTTATATTTTATTTTTATTTACAGTTCTTGCAAGTCTAAAGTGTTGTTGAATTCACTGTTTCTGAATCATTAGTGACATATTATGTGCCTTGTTTGCTATAAAATAGCTAGTTATCTTGAAATTAAACCTTATATAGTTTACAGCTATTTTACTCAAGCTTTTAATTTTTTTGCCATTTGGAAATCTTACTACCTCAGTATAATTACCAAATTAATTATGAGAGGAAGCTGCAATTTAAAAAGATCAACAAGAGTCTATCATGATAAGAATAGTTGTTACCTCTGTTAGAGAAAGAGAAAAGAAATGTTGACAGCTTCTTCTAAGAATAGCTATTCTTGGGCAGGAAGTTTGGCTCAGTGGCACAAGCACCTACCTGGCAAGTGTGAAATCATGAGTTTGATCCCTGGTACCCACCCAAAAGTTGTTCTCACAGATATTATTAATTAATGGAATTAATTCTTAAGACACAATGACCTAAAATTTAATAACAAAAAAATAGAATAGTGTGGAAACACAAGAAATACTGTGTGAAAGATTTTCTGCCAGAAAAGCCTTAATTTGTTTTGTTTTATATATATAAATATATATATATGAAATCATATACACACTACGTATGTATACAATATATATATACACACATACACAGACAAAGAGAAAAGTAGAAGAGAGTTAAATAGAAAGTAGGTAGAAGTTCAAATACTTCCCTAATTTATATATTCATTGTTTTAAAAATAAGTAAGAGCATTTAGAGGCAAGAACAAGTGTGGCATCCCGCCTAAGAGAAACCGTCATTGAGCCGTCATTGAGACAGCATCTCACTGGATTCTTAGGGAAAGATTGGTCAAGTCACAGATGTTCTTGTACCTCAGTGTCCTGGGAATTTTAGGTAGGAAGCAAGAGATCAGAATTAATAGTTTTCTAAAGGTCCAAAGTAGTCACCCAGCTTGCCTGTGTTGTAATCTTTTAAGAATGTAATAGTAGTTTCTTCAGAAATGTCTAATTCCACACTCCATTCTTAATTTTAACAAATGATTAAGTATCATGTCATTTGTATAACAACATAGATAAGACATGTTACACATGTTTTGGATCAAGAAAATTAGGGGCTGGGGATTTAGCTCAGCATCATAAGTGCCTGCCTTGCAAGCAGGCGGTCATGAGTTCGAACCCTGGTACCGATAAAAAGGAAAAAGAGAAAAAAAAATTTTTTTCAATGTATATGCCAATTTGTTTCATTTATACTAATTGTCTATCTTAGTTGTTAAAAAATGTTTGTGTTATTATGTTTGCTTCTTTTTTGTAAGTGTCCTTTTGGCTTATGTCTGTACTGAGTAACTACTTTGAAGACATACTTTGAAGAATACACAATGTAATAACTATCATTATTCTATTATTCGGTTATAAAAATTTGTTTTATTTTTCATAAAATAAAAGAACATTCAGAATTTCTTAAAAATCAAAATTAAAGGACTTTTAAAAGAAAATATAAATAATAATGTAAACTTTGCTGATTTTTTCCCATATTAAATATTTCAAACAAATAATTTTAAAATGAGTTTTATGGTCCAGCATTAATTTTAGCTGATGCATATATAGCCTATATTATCTTTTGAAAGTAATAAATAATATTACAACTTTTAATAATCAGCTTTTTAAAAATTATACAATGGGGATACTTTTTACAGTAAAATCCAAATGTTTTAACATGGAATTTAAGATGCTGCACTTGTCTTTTTCAGTTTTATTTCTCACTACATTGATTGATGTGTGGTCAGCGCTCACTTCTTTGGTAGTAAATTAATTCATTTTGGTTTAATGTTGATTTTGGTGTAGCAGGGACCTGGAGAAAGCTCATTTTTCAAGCCAATTTATAGTTAGAATTGGCTATTAGTGAGTTTCTGACCAAGCTGCCTGGAGCTTCTCTGCTTGAGAGGGAGCGAGAAGGACTTGGAGAATGGCCCACTTCCAGCGTCTCATGCCAAAGCTGACCTGAGGCTTGGCTTCTCTCCTTCAGTGTAGGGTGGACAGTCTAGACTAGTGGACGTATCTCGAGTTCATTGCACTTTTGACTTAAGTGTGATTTCACATGGGCTCCTTCCTGCTTTCCACTCACACATTTACTTTTGTTGAGGGCTGTCTATTTATTTTTTGTATTTTGTCCTTTATTCATATTTCTACCTACTTGAAATGTACTTCTTTTCCTTTTGAAGGCCTGGTAATTCCTTTATTCTGTCAAAGAAAAATTAATCAAGGTTTCACCTTATTTCCTTTTACAGTACACGTCTTATTATTTAACCACTAGGTTTAAAAAATCATCTTTCCTTCTAAGTATGTCAGTGACCATATGTATTGAATATAGAGTTTAGGTAGTTACTAAGGCTGGTGAATCAAAGACTAAAGGAATAACTATTAAGCTAGAACTCTGTTTTCTTTTTTAACTATTACTATTTTACCAGTTGAAATATACCAGTTGAGGTGATGAGGGCATCATCTCAGCTGACGTAAATTAATTAAGCTACAAGGAGAGATGCAGGAATCATCTGGTATTTTGTCATACTATCATACTGAGGAATGTCTTACTTTGTTTTCATAACTATAAGTCTTAGGAATGATATTGTAAATTCCTCTCAACATGTTAAAATATTTTTTCAGTCTGTTCATGTTCTATGTATTATTAAACTGTGTCTTTTTAGTATTGCTTATTGAGAGTAATGCATAAGTCTTTCTTATCTATAGACTAATGTTAGTCTGAATGCTTGCATATGAGTGGACTACTTAGTGGACATATAATTGTTTGGAAAATATAATTCTGTATTATACTTTATTCTTTCAGAAACAGATGGGTGAGATGAAACTAAAACTTGAAAATGTCATCAGAGAAAATGAAAGGTAGATCAATTATTGGTTCCTCCATTTATTTTTTAAATAACATTTATTTTTGTTATTTAATACATATACTGATGAACAGTGTAGAATCTAGGGTCTGATTTTCCATTTCTCTCCTGGCTCCATTAATATGACTATAAAGACATTATTTCTTTTTTGCTTTAGTTTCTTCATCTGTAAATGAAATGAAAGATACAAACAGAATTATTTTCATAGGACTAATTATAAAGGGTAAAGCACCTTATAAATATTAGCAGTTGATCATGTAATGTATATTACATAAATGTGTTAGAAAGCATACTGATAAAATGGAAGTTTGTCACACCTGCCAGCCAGCAAAAGAGATAATGTTACTGATACTGGTGCATTTATCCATGTTTTGTCTGCAATTCCCAGTCTCGTCTTTCTGCAGAAAGTAAACACTACCATGAATTATTTCTCATTCCTTTGCTTTTAAATTTTTTTATAGATATGTTTATCTCCAGTCTATATAAGTTTGCATTTTTAAAAGACTTTATAAAATTATATCATCTGGTTTCGGGACTTAATTTTTTCACTTACATCTTCTACAAATACAGGAGTTTCAAAGGATGAAATCACTAGGTCATATGTTATGTGAATGTTAAGTTTTGTAATAAATGTCAAATTTCCAAAGAGGCTGTACTAGTTTACCATACTGCTATTGATTTACCAGTATTAATCCACTGCTTTTACCAGTGCTACCTTTTATTAAACTTCAGACTTCTTAAATTTTCTCTTATTAAACTTCAAACTTCTTAAATTTCATCATTTTAACTAAGTAGTTTTCATTATGGTTTTTTGGTTTTTTTACTACCAGGAATCAAATTCAGAACCTCATGCTTGCCAGCCAGGTGCTGTGCCTCTGAGCTGTATCCCTAGCTTTGTTATGGCTTAATTGAGAGGATTTTTTCCCCAGTTTTTTAAATACATATGTGTAATATGTAATGGTAATGTTCCTCTTGGGGACTTGGTAATAAACATAACACATCTTATTTCTTTTTTTTCCTCCTCCTCCTTCTCCTCCCCTTCCCTACCATTCCTTCTATCTTGATGCATTCCCATTTGCAAAATATATATCTCCCTATTTCCTCCTATCTTTAATTTTGCCCTTCATTTATATTTGAGGATTTTTATGTAAGAAAAAACATAATATTTTAGCTTGTGTGTCTTATTTATTTCACTTAACATTGTTGTCTCAGATCCATCTATTTTTCTACAAATGACTCACATTTATTCACTATGGTAGAGTAGTACTTCATTGTGTTACATGTACTACATTGTGTTAACATGTTCTCTTTATCTGTTCATGTATTGGTGGACATATTGGCTGCTCCAAAGATTTAGCTGTTGTGAATTGTGCTGTCATAAACATGAACATGCATGTATCACTGTAATATGGTGTCTTTAACTCTTTCAGGAAGACTCATAGGAAGGGAATAGCTGAGTTGAATGAAATTTCTCGTTTTAGTATTTTGAGGAATCCCTGTACTGATTTCCATAATGGTTGCATTCTTTACATACCCAGCAACAATATGGAAGTGTTCTTTCCCCTGTAGCCTTTCTGTCATTTGTTATTACAGATAATCTTGTTTCATGACTGAGTTCCGTTTCTGTGGCTAGGTTGTTAAATAAATGGGCTGCTAAATGAGGAATTGTATATGGTATACACATTACAATATTCAGAACCAAGAAATGGTCAAAGGAAACTTCACTTGATGACTTTGCTTTTATTTGCATAACTCTTACATGCGGTATTGAAATATATAACAACATAAAACTATAGTACTATACTATACTGTCCAGTACAATTACAGAAACTACAGAACTATACTGCAGAAGAAGCCACCAGAAGGCCACATCATGTTCCTGTGTTGGAAGTTCAAATGTGGGTCGTAAGGCTGAGTAGTGGTAGTAAGTCTACACTGTGTGCCTCAATCTCAAATCTAGTCATTAGACAGATAGGTCCATAAATGTCTGTATTGCTTTTCTGGCCTCATTTTCATTAATTACTGCTCTGATCTGTATCATTTCCTTCTTGGTCCTGGCTTTGGATTTGGAATGGTCTTCTGTTTTCTGGTACCTTGAGGTATGTCATAGATTATTCTCACTCTGTTTTTCCTGTGTGGGCATTTACAACTATAATTTTTCCTCTTAGGACTGCTTTCATTGTGTCCCATAGGTTTGCTGTATTGTATTGAAATTATCGTTGGCTTCTTGGAGCTCTTTAATCTCTGTCTTGATTTCTTCTATGACTCATTGATTATTCAACAGGATATTGTTTAACGTCCATGTGTTTGCACAATTTCTGTGATTTCTTTTGCCACTGATTTCTAGTTTCACCTCACTACCATCTGATAATATGCATGGGATAATTTTGCTTCTGTTGCATTTACTTAAGCATGCTTTATGGGCTAGCATGTGGTATATTTTGGAGAAAGCCTCAAGAGCTGCTGAGATTGTACATTCCATTGTTGGGTAGAACACTCTAGGTAGCTATTAAGTACATTTATTTAAAGGTTTGATCAATTCTTATTTTTCTTTGCTGATTTTTTACCTAGTTGATCTGTTTGTGACAGTGGAGCATTGAGGTCCCCCACCATATTTGTGTTGGCATTTATCTGATTTTATGTCCAATAGTGTTTGTTTCATGAGGTTGGATGCACTAATATTTGGCGCATATATATTTGTGTTATCATTTCCTGTCAGATTTCTCCCTTAGCCAATATAGGATGACCTTTTTTGCCTCTTGTAGTCAGTTTTAGTTTCAAGTCCATTTTTTCCTAAAGTTAGAATAGATATTCCTGTATTTTCCTGGTTCCAGTTATGTGAAATATTATTTTCCATTTTTAGACTTTTGACTTGTGTAATTCTTTTTGAATTAAATTTTTTTTTTGTATTCAAAGTATTGTTGAATTTATTTCTGGGCCCATTCTGCCAGGCTGTATGACTTGATGGAGGAATTAAGACGAGTTATTGAGAGTTATTACCAAAAAGTACTGACCAACCATGTCACATTTTATTACCCTGCATTACTGATTTCCTTTTTTTGTTTTGTCTTCTTCTTAACTACTCACCCTGTTTGGGGTATTCATTTATGAGACTTTTTGGCATTGTTGGCCTCATTGTCTCTTTCTAGGATATCATTGTTTTTGTAGTGCTGATTTGGTGGTCATGAGTTTCTCGATGTGCTCTCTGTCACATTATTTCTCCATCAGTTTTGAAAGACAGTTTTGCACAATATCAGTCTGTGTTGTAATCAGGGATTGCAAGAACAATTATACACAGGGCACATGATTTACAGTATTATTTATAATGGCCACTCAGGGAATCAAATACAGAGAAAGTGCAGGAAACGTGTTCCACACACTAAAGACCTGCAGAATCTAGCCAAGTGCCTGGATCCCACAGTGATGCCCTACACGAGTTCATTAAAGACCTGGAGCCCATGACTTTGCCCCCAAGGAGTCCAGCTGGATCCCTAGAGCCCACAACAATGACTCACGTAAGTCTGTTTTATGCTTCTGCCTTGGGAAGATCCAAAGGTCAGCAGTGGAAGCTAGAAAGTCTGTGCCAGCAGAATGAAGGATCTGTGCCAGTAGGTTGAGAGTTCTGCACTGGAGCCAAGAAGCAGCACTCAAAATAAGAACCAGGGCTTCCCAAAAAGTACCATAGCCATTCTCAGTAACAGTGAGGTCCTGAACTCCTCCAACGAGAACAGCCGAGTCCGTATCAGGAAGCCTGTATGACAAGCTTCTCCTGGAAATTGAACAGCACACCATCTTCACCTCCAGAGCCAGGAAGCAGCGTTCGAAGTAAAGACCAGAGCTCCCCCAAAGTGAACCACAGCCATTCTCCACAATAACAAGGCCCTGACCTCCTCTGATGATGAGAAAAGCCAAGTTCATAGCAAGAAACAATCTCAACAGGCTCCTCCAAGGAGAACCCATGGCAACAGGAGAACCAACAGTACCAAACAACAGCAACACTATGGAGAAACAACAATGCTAATTACTGCTTCTCCTGTTCCCTTTTTATGTTGGCAATAGTCCTCAGGTGGCCCATCCATGCTTAGCATGCTGATTCAGTGCAGCTGGTGTTAAATTGACCACCAGTTTTCAATCCATCACAATCTGTTTTGGAAATTGTTTTCTTTTACAATTTGAAACTCTTCCAAACTTCCATGTCCTTTAAGGTTTATGTTGAGAAGTCTGAGTTGTGTATTTCTAATGGCTTTACTTTTGTAAGTAATTTGTTGCTTTTCTCTAATAGCTTATAAGATTCTGTCCATGTTGGACTTCTGGGATTTTGTCTATGCTGAGTCTTGAAGAGATTCTTTTTGGATCATGACTATTTGGGGTTCTTTATAACTCACTCATCTCTATGTTTAATTCTGTCTATATATTTGAAAAGTTTCCTCCTACTTTTTCTATAAATTTTTATGCCATTTGTGCAGACTCTTGATTTTTCACTACAGTTCCAGTTAATTTTAGATCAGCCTTAGTTGTGTCATCTAGCTCTGTTGCATCCATTGTTCGTGTGTTTTAAGGTATCTTTGCAGCCCTGTCTTTTAGTTCTGACACTTTGTCCTCAATTGGTGCTTCTGCTGCTCATTGTAACTTTTGTCTCATGGATTTCTTTTTGGAACCATTTCATGGACTCTTAATTCTTCACTAAATTGGTCATTTGTGTTTTATATTATTTTGTTTAAATCATCTAGCTTTTTAGTAGTGTCTTCCATAAACTCCCTACTTATTTTATTATATCTGTCATTTGTTTAATTATATCCACTCAGCTCGTTGAGCACTTTGTTGATTTTTTAAAATCTCTTCTGTTATCCTTTGAAATAATTCAGCAGTATAGGTTTTGCTTTCCTCCTGCCCAGTGCCCCATGAATTGGCTTTGGGGGAGCTGAAGTTTTGGTAGGCATTTTTTGCCTTGTCTTCTCATGTTTTTATTTTTGTTTAGTTCTGTGTAGATTTGTG